ATAGCACAAGGAATAGATATAAGTAGTGAACTATATTTTGTAATTGATATTTTAAATATAGAGAGCACCAAAAAGAGAGTAATTAATTCTTCATGGAAAAGTCTGGGAAGGCTTCAGTGAGGAGGTGATATTTGAGTAGACCATTAAACGGTGAATAAATTTCCAAAATAGACCTTGGTAGATAGAATGCAGGCTGGGTGGATAAAACAGCATTGGCAAAGGCATTGAGACACGAAGGAACATGGCAAGGCTAGGGTTGACAAGGAGGTTTAGGGACTAAGTAAAGCGTGTGTGTTGCTGGTCGTGTGGGAGATGGAAGAGGGTAGAATGTTGAGGAAGAAGGAAAGGCCGAACCAGGCCAAACTGAAAGGGCCTGTATTATATTTAAGGAATTCGGACCAGACAGGTATCTCCAGGTATGTGTATAGACCATGTTGTCAGCATACTGGAAACGATACGCCGGATGTGCACGGGTGGACAAGGCAGAGTGTTGGAGTGAGGGTTTCAGAGCCTGTGCTGCAGCACTGACAGACGGTGCAGCTTGGAGGGGCCTCCATTTTCAGATGTGTTTCAAATGAATCCTACGGTGGAAGTCAACATGGTCTGATGCAGTCAGAGCTGTTCTGATTGAAGCAGTGAACGCAGTGGGGGAAAGGGAGTTGGACCGGAAGGGCCCCGAGACCTATCCGAATGTCCCTTTGCTTTCTTTGTTTACCAGGGGATAAAAGAAAAAGTCCCGTGAAATCCTGTGTGACTCCTCTCAGGCTAGAACATGAAATTTTGAGAGTCCGAAACCCTTTCGCCTTATATTCTGGTTATATTCTTCAGGTATCAAAATGTTGTGTTGTAGTCTTCAGAATCTCAAATGACACGTGTGAAATTTTATTTCATAAAATGTGGAGTGGTAGTGAGCGTCCAATCAATGTTGGGTATCCTTCTTTTTTTAAAATTTTAATTAACCCAAGTACTCAAACAAGTATGTTTTGGAAGCAGGTAAGGGGAAAAGTGAGGGAGAAATATGCTGAGTCCCTGCTTGGATGGGCCTGGGGAAGGGAAATGGGAGTCCCTAGTGGTGGGAAAGTTGTCAGAAGTTGTCTCTGATGTGCTATATTCCCGGCATCTGAAATTATTCCACAGTCTCAGCAGTAAACTTGGAGAATCAGCAAATGATGTGGAACTGGTGGTGGTGGAGGCAACTTATAAATACTGCGTCCCAGTTGCTCTGAGTCCTTATCTTTTGCCCCGTGGTGACATCTTCTTAATTTGATCCCTAAACTAGTTATCTCTGTTGGCTGAGAGGAGCAGAGGGGGGAGGGAAAGGGAGAGGAGGAAACACACCTGTGGGGGGTGGGGAGCAGGACACAGGGGCCTGCCCGAATTACCTGGGGATTTCTTCACACAACCCACCGTTCTTCCTCCATGAGCAGAAATGCTAATCACGCCCCCCTGTGGCAGAGGGGAGCTGACTAGCGAGTCACGGCAGAGTAAGCCCTGTCTCCTAGGCGTGGTGGGGAGAAAAGAGGTTCAGAACCCCTGATTTAACTCCTGCTTTTCCCTTATCTCTCTGGTAGATTCTGGGGAGAATCCTGTCTAATTTCATGTTCTTCATAATATCAGAAAACTGCTAGCTCCCATACTTGTTTGTGTATTATAGCCCTTATAGTTTATAATTAATTCTAATTAATGATAGCATGATAAAAATGATGAATATCACTGCTAAAAGTCTTAGGCTCAGAAGGCAGTCAGTTCAAGACAGAAGTCCCCATTTCTTTCCTGTTTTAGCAATGGAGAATGGAGTAAGAGGAAGGAGGTTTCATATGTGTTTATTGTGATACTCTGTCATAAAGGCACCCCCAGTGTACTGAGTCATTTTAAACGCCTACAGTTATGGGTGAATAATAACGATATGAAAAAGAAAGATGACTGCAGAGGGCTTTGTATTTTGGTAATTGGTGAGCCATAGGGTGGATGAGGGGGAGGGATTAATAATTTACTACCAAATCTTTTAAATAAAATGGTTAGTACAAATGTGTAGCTTAGTTCCAGGAATGAAAAAGGTTTTTATTTCCCCAGTGTATTTTAGACATATTTAAGTTATAAAAAGAAAGGGCACAGTGTTAACTGTACTGTAATTTCATCCAACTTTTTAAACTTAACATATATTTTTAAAATTTAATGCACAAATACATGCGCTTGGTTTTAGAAGCCAAATGATGCTAAATGTGTGTATATATATACACACACACACACATATATGTGTATATATAAATATAAAGTAGTAGTCATTTTCTCCCTCAGTCAATGCCATTCTCCAGAGGCAATTAACTGCTCTGAACTCTTTATTTGTTCTACGACTTCCTATTTTACGAAGCCAGAATTTTTAGTCTCGTGCCCTATCTTCTCACCTCCTGTGTCCTTTCAGTATAGTTATTTCACAATTTTTGGCATGGTTTTTAATATTTTTACTAGGAAAATATTTTTTCTGAGCCAAATAGTAGGCGATGATTACATTTGCTTTATTTTTAGTTTTCCTGAAATTAATAATTGCCTCATTCATTGGTTTCATTTGCTTCACTGCCTTCAAATTTCTGGCCCAACTCTTTCCCCATACCCTCCAACAGCTTTGTAAGATGCCTTTCTTAAAGTTTTTCTTAGAGCCAAACCTATCGAACAATCATAGCCTGTCTTCCTTTTTATTTTTATTTTTCGAGACATATATTCTGTCACCCTCAGGACTCTGTTCCATCCTAGAGTGGTTGCTTCCTGCTGCAGAATTGCCGTCCTGTGCCCAATTCACTTTGCTTCTCTCTCTTGTGCCAGGATTCATGTCATTTTCTCTCTTAGTTTATTTTTTCCTCCTCCTCAGTTTCCTGAAAAGCCATGGGAGGTAAATTTCCTGAGACTTTATATATTTGAAAAAGAGTATTTACTTTTACACTTGATTGTTTGGTTAAATCTAGGATCTTTGGTGGCAAATCATTTTCTTTCAGAATTTTGGAGCTATTCCTACATTGACTTCTAGGTTATAATGTTTCTTTTGAGAAGACTGTTGCTTTTCTTATTTCTGAGTCTGCCTGTGACCGGTTTCTCCTTGCTGGAAAACTTTAAGATCTCTTTAGATCTGGTACGCTCGCTCAACTTTTACACTGCTATCCTCAATATGAATTCCTTTTCATTTATTTTGCTGTCTTTTAAGCAAGAAATTTATATCCTTCAGTGCTGGTAGGTTTCCTTGAAATGTTTCTTTGAGAACTTCTTTATCAGTGCTTTCTCTGTTCTCTTTCTGGCACTCCTATTGGTTGAACTGAACGTCTAACCTTATTAAGTTTTTTTGTCTTATTTTCTATCTCTTTTTCCTTTTGTCCTACTTTCTAGGTGAAATCCTTGACCTAACCTTGTTGTCCTTTTACTGTTTCTTATTTTTAAATTTTAGCAATACTTTTAATATATAAAAGAATTTTCTTTCTTAACGTTTATTTTTATAATGTGTTTTTATTGCATGGGTGTAGTTTAAAACATTATGTTTAAATTGCCTATTTCTCTTCCTCTGTCAATAGAGAGTTAATATGTCCCTTTGGAGGGGAGGAAGGAACTACTGTGCCTCTTAGGGATGATGTCATATCCCTTAGCATGCTGGGAGAACAGCTTCAGAACTCCTGAGGACATTGAGTAGAATGTCTTTGTAGTTTTCCATTTCTTCCTGCATTGTCTCTGTTTTTTCTGAGTTCCTTTTAGTTTCTCATTATTTGTTTGCTTGTCTCACTTTAATATTGCTGATTTTCCTCAAATGCCTAGAGTTCTTGGCTGTCCATTCCTATTTCTGAGTGAATCTTTAGAAAGCTGATTGGAAGTTCTGTGTCTATTCATTGGACTTTTCGACGGGTGGCTTTCACTGTAGGGTCATTAGGTTGATACAGCTTTTTCATCAGAGACCTTCAAATGTCAGAATTTGTAGTATTTTGTCAGTGGGTGGTTCAGTTTTTCTAGAGAAGATTCTTTCAATCTTCTGCAACTTCTTTCTGTTCAGTCTGCAGACTTTCATTTAATCTGCCTGTTTTCATTTGCGAGCCTCACCTCCACTCTCCCTTTTACTTCTTGTCTCTGAGTCTGGCCCCTCACTTTCTCCTGCAGGGGTGTGGGAGGAATAGTCAGACCCAGCTTTACCCCACCTTCTGTGGTACTTGTGCTCCTAGCCTGTCTGGATTCTGTAGGTATTTTTGACTTGACTCTCATCATTATGTTCCTTTGCAAGCACTTAGATTTATTCTTCCTTCTCTCTAGCAAGTCATTTTCTTCTCTAATGCTTTCTGCCATCTTATAATTTAGTTCAGAATTAAAATTGTCCCCTAGACTGATCAAAGATTGAATTCTATTTCTGATTCTTACTTCCTTGAGTATTAGGGTGATTTTTAAGATGAGAGAGGTTGGAAAATGTCTACCGTCTTGAAACTGAAAATCCAGTAATCATCACTTTAATTATAATGGAGAATGATGGGCTAAATTAGTTGTTGTATGGAAAGACTTTTTTCTTCTTAAATTCCCCTTCTGTTGAAAGCTGGAACACTGATATCATGAAAAAATACCTTTTTCTTAAATTTGTGAGGGTAGATGGGGAAACTGAAAGCAATTGATTATGGCTGAAAATCACATTGCAGCCTTTTTTCCCATCATTGATAGGATGGCGATTTCTTCCCTGCTTTTCATACAAATTCATACTTTCAGATCACACCAAAGTTAGAATACAGTGGAAGGAAACTGTGAGTTTTTAGGCAGTCCATAGTACCCTGCATTTTTGCACAGCAGTCCCAAGTACAGTCTTAACCTGTGAGAAGAGTACTCAGTATTCCGATATCATCTAAACTGATGCATTATGTTTAAAGTAACAGAGTCAAATGTCTGGATTAGGCTGAGGGAAGTATGTTAAAGGGCTTCCTGAGAGACAGGAGCTAGGTTCTCGGTGGTCAGATGATGCAGAAAATACCATTACCTCTGTTTCACAGGTTAGGAAGCAGAGAATGAAGTGACTTGCCCAAATTTCCGCACAACCAGGAATTCAATCCCTGGCAGTCTGATCCTGGAGCCTCTGCTACTAACCTATTCTGTGGTGATGAAGAGCCATGGAGATAGTGAGTATAAAAAGGGAAGCAGCCACGCTGGACAAAGGACAAGAGAGGCAGCCTGTCCTTGACACCATTCAAGGAAACTGTACCCCAGGGGTCTTGTGAGTATCGCTGAGAAGAGGGGGTGAGGAAAGGAACTGCATAAACATTTGCTTCTGCTTGAATGCTCACGTGCCAGCACCCCTCCACCAATTAGGAGAGCCGTCTTGAAGGATGAAGAATGCTGCCTTGCCTTCTGAAAAGAAGACCGCAGGACATGCGTTAATGAGAGGAGGGGGAGTCACAGCTGACAGAAAAATAAAGCTCTCAGCAGGAGCCCTGCGCCCCCGAGCCAGGCCTGAACTTGTTGACTGAGCAGCAAGACCCCTGCCGTTGGGCTCCCCCAACTCCGTAGCTGTTTCTTGCTGCATCTTGGAAGACCGCTCTCTCCCCCTGTGACTGGCCTTATATGGGACAATTAATGAGCAGTGTAGTGACAGCAGACACCTCTCCATATTGTTCAGAGCTTGGGCTTGTAACCAGACAATTCGCCACTGCCCTCCGGGTTCCATTGAGAAGTGCCTTCTCAGCAGTTTGTAGAAGTAGGTTGTAAAAGCAAAGGGTACAGCGTTCACTGCATCACATCTTTCATTTATTTAGTCATCTGCTTTGGTGAGAAGCATAGATTTAGAAGGGAGGGCTGTCTTGATCTCAGATGGAATCCCTCCTTAGTCAGTATTAGGACGCTCATTAAATTACTTTGGACAAGAGGGACTGGATTCTGTTACCCACTAATTCAGTGGTACAAAAGGAAATCCCATAAAGTAGTTTTTGAAGGGCTTTCTTCTACTTAACCTGTTTTGATTCCAAGAAGAAGGTATTATTATTCTCTTTCTAAAGATGAGGAAACTGAGGCTCAGCGATGTTTATGTAAGGGCTGTACCCAGGGCCACTCGGGGTTGAAATGGAAGAGGCACTACGGTTGACTTGCTTATAATCCTGGGCTCTTTCCTCAGCACCACGCTGAGTTGCCTGTTGCTCAAAGTTTGCTAAAGCCCATAACTCCTCAAGGCTTAAAAGGCCTATTGTCACGAGGCCCTGGGAGATCATCCAGGAAGATCAGTCACTCACTAGGCGTTTCTTTTTTGATTATGTAAGTGCTCAGTACGCTGCTAGGCACATGGAGAAAGGTTGGGTTTTAGGTCTCTAATGAGTTTTCAGCCTCATTGGAAGATGAATATGTAAACAGAATATTTAGAGAACAATTAAGTTCTTAATTACAGCTAAATAGTAAGCGTAGAGTTGCTCAGAAAAGGGAAGGAGACAGCGCAGGCTGAAATTCTTCGGGAATGGAGAGGGTGGTATGTGAGTGGATATGGAGGGGTGGGTGGGTATGGAAGATGGATGAGACACAGGAAGGCAAGAAAAGGGTTTTCTACCAACGGAAACACAGAATTAGAACAGGAAAGGGAAGGTTCTGAGCCAGCCTAGAAGTTGGGGGTCATGATGTATTGGTAGAGGGAGTGAGGTATGTGTGTGTGTAGATATACATTTCTTTGATCTCTCTTGCTCTGCTTGGTTTTTTTCCTCTCACCAGAAAGCATAATTTAAAGGGAGACTGAGAAAGAAAAAAGCCACTTTTTCTTGCACCTATACTTACTGTATTTCTTTTTTTTTTTTTTTTAAAAAAATCGAAGTTATAGTTTTTTTTTTTTTTTATTTATTTTGGCTGTGCCATGCGGCATGCGGGATCTTAGTTACCCAGCCAGGGATCGAACCCATGCCCCCTGCAGTGGAAGCACAGAGTCTTAACCACTGGACTGCCAGGGAAGTCCCTGTATTTCTTAATCTATCCATTGTACTAACTAGTTTTCAAAGGCAGAGGACAGAAGTGCCAAATACCCCAAAAAATTATTTTTAGGAGAGTTATTAGTAATCACTGAATATATTATCTGATTTTAAATTCTAACAACTTCCCCTTCCCTAATTGGTTTCAGGGATTTTTTTTTTTTTTTCAGAACAGGTCTCTGTATCAGAGTATCCATATGGAAAGAATTTGTATTAATGTTATAAATTTGAAAAACGTAAGTAAAAATAAGATTGCCATGTAAATATCAGTGCCTCCCCAGGGGAGAAACTCCATAAATGAGGCCAGGCAGAGCCAGTCTTTCCCCCTCAGTATTTCCATGGTGTGAATAATCTCTCTTCCTTGCTGTAACATGAGCTCCTAGAAGGAAGAGACCATGTCATGTGAATCCCAGTGTCAAGTATATACCTAACTGGTAGAGGTTACTCAAATGACCTCTACCATTCATTTAGTTGAATGGATAAGTGAATATGTAAGAGCAAGTATAGCTTTCATCTCCTGTGCTAATTAGGGTAGTGCTAGCTGCCGTGACAAGTAAGCCCCTCAATTTCAGTTTGGTGCAACAAAACTGTAGTTATCACTCATGATAGTCTAACGTTGATGGGTGGCTTTCCTCTACTTGGTGATTCAGGGACTGGCCTCTTTCCATGTCATGGCTCTGCTTTCCACTGGGGCTTGAAAGCCTACTGCATATGGTAGGCAGACAGGGAAGAGAACATGAGGAGGGTACAAGTGACACATACTACTTCTGCTCACTTTCTTTTTATTAGAACTCTCCACGTGACCCTGTCTAGGAACAAGGCGGGCAGGAACATGTGGTCCCTGGCTGGGCAGCTTCCTCAGAGAGACACTGAACATCATGGAGCAGTATGGATTTTAGTGGACAGTTGGTTATCTCTGCCACATCTGGCTTTCAGCACTTTCTAGCTGTGTGCTCTTAGGCAAGTTCAGAGCCTCTCCAGGTGTCAGTTCCTTCCTTGAAAATGGGGGTCCTGTAAGGTTGTTGTAAATATTGAACGACACAAGTATTTGAAGTAACGAGCAGTAGTGAGGATGAGCATTTGCTTACATAGGAGAGCTATTATAATATTGTTACTTTACATGTTCCAGTTCAATTAAGATGTTTCTTGGGTTAACATTTATTTTTCTTCAACCATGATCACAGCACATACAAAACTAGGGCAACCCAAGGAGACCACGTACTCTTATGTATGAAGGTAGAAGAATAGGTAGAGACTTTTAAATTAAGACATCCTACTGGGGCCATGGCACATACTGAGGTTAGGGTAACATGTGGTACCTGTTTGGTAGTGTGAACTTTAGATAAAAAGGAGAACTTTCTCTTGAAAATTTACTGCAGATCTGCTAAGGGTGGGTGTGTTCTGTCAGTGTGAAAGGCTGATTGGCTTGTAGATACCACCCCAACATAGTGGAGGTAGATGGAATGGAATTATTACAGACTTGTCCCACGGAACAAAGAGAATAAGAAGCAGGACCCTGGGGAAAGGAGAACAAAGGCGTGTAAGGACTCAGGGCCATGGGAAGAGAAGGGAAGGGAAGGGTAAAGAGAGGAAGGGGCGGCATCTGACCCCCTGGCTCTCCCTTTCAGGACTGAATTACTCATTCCCCAGCTGCCGGGTGTGTGTTGGCTGCTGAGGCTCCTGGCTGAGTCCTCTCCCAGAAACTGTCTTTGGTTGAAGGGAGCTGCCTCGCCCTAGGTTGCAAATCCCCCCAGTCGAGGTGGCACTAAGACCCATGGTGGGCATCTCTGAGGGCCATCCCAGCTTTGCAGTTCCTGGTGGGGTTGGCTGAGGCCTCGGTGACAACTGAGTTCAACTTCTCCTTCTGCTGAGTTCTGCCCTCTCATCCCTTCACAACCGTGGTTCCCAACGCAGTTCCCAGGAAGGTTCCTGCACAGCACTCTGCATCTCAGAGTCTGTGTCCTGAGGAACTGGACCTGTGAGAGTAGAGAAGGAAAAAGAATGGAAGAGAAGGGGAAGGAGAGAAGGCAAAAGGAAGGGAAGAGGACCCACCGGAGAGGGCTTTTCTCCTTATGGATTGTCATATGCTGCAGTCCCCAGAGACATCAAAATAAGGGGATTCCTTCCTTTTTACCTCCGGGAAAACTTAATGTCATTAGGCAAAATGATTCCAACTTGAAGTAGGGGGCTTTTTGTGCATTCTTCTGGATTCTCTCAGTATACTTGCCCAGCTAACAGCGAGTTTGTTTCATAATGGATTGTTATGCTTACCTTCCACTATCAATGGCCAGTACTGGTGTCATATAGTAAATCTTTATAAAGAATTGACTTTTTACAGAGTCTGTTTTCTCCCTCCCTCCCACGCCCCACCAAACATAGTCTAACGCATCCAGTTCTGCTCTGAACAACAAAAATGTACCTTCCAAATTCATGTGTTGGAAGAAAAGGGAAAAAGTCTATTTCTGGCGTCTGTGGTGAGGGGCTTTCAGTGAGAGGGCTTATGCTGCCTCTCTCCGCTGCCAGGAGGGTATGGAAGTGGGTTTCATGACCTTCTGCTCCAAGCACACAGTGGGCCTGAAAAAAAGTGCATTTTAAAATGAATTGCACAGTCTGTAATCAGTATGATCTCAGTGACTGGGGGTGAAGGGGATTCCCTGGAAACCTGACCTTCTGAGGTCATTCACGTTTAGGCATTCTCACCTTTACCTGTTTGATGCCTTTTTTGGAGACTTGTTTCACAAGAGCTCCCACTTCAAGGCTACTGTAAATACTGTAACATTTCCCTTTATTTCAAGCTGTTCCCTTTTCTTTGTGGGTGGGTTTGCCACTGTGAGATTCAATTTCCCTGACAGAACTGTGTTTTCTGGCCTCCCATGTGTGATTAATTCAGAGGAAGCCTTTATCTGTTGTGATCTAAATGGGTATTTGTTTTACCCTCAGCCAACAAGACAATAACAAATGTCTTGCCTGCAACGACAGGCTTGGAAATGCAGTTGTCACAGTGAAAGCCACAAAGCACATGAGTTCCAGGCTCTGTGCTGACACTTGACTAGCTGAATACATGCAGGAACCAGAAAGTGGAAAATTTTTTACAGGAGATGATGAATGCTTTTCTGTCCCCACAGAATCGGCAAAGGGCTTTGCTTGGGCCTTAATTTGACCCAGAGTTGTTACTGAAAGTGTGCAGAGTGACATGACTGTTCAACTTCCCTACTTTATACTATGTGCTCGTGCGTGCGTATGTTCTCCAAGAATATTAATTGTGGGGAAGTGTCCTGCGTTCTTCCTCCTGCCTCAGGGTTCTCATGGGCTCCAAAAGCTCTGATGAGCGCCAGCATCTGGGACAGACACTGACTAGATCTTGGACAAGTGACTCATTCTGTATTCCAGAACTGGGATAGGGCTGGTGCTCACAGGGAAAACTCAAGGATGGAGCATCTCCATTGCTATCCTGGAGAAGCTGGAGCCCTACTGGAACATAAATCCACATCTCTCGTACTTATTTGCCCCAAATCCATTAGTCCTCTACTGTCACATACTTAACATTCACAGTAAATACTTTTCTGCCCATAGTTCTAAAGACAGAGATGATAATGGAAATACGCTGATAACTGTGCTATCTTTGTTATAAAAGCTGAAAAAAATATGACTTAGTTGGTGCCCTTCCGAGTGACAAGCCTGAGTGTTTAATGCTACCTTGAGATGGTTCCTTAGGGAGCCATTTTATGTCATTTTCTTGTAACTGTCACTCTAATGTGCTGGAGGGAAGTTTTACTGTCATTTGCATATTCTGAAAGTTTACTGAATTTTAAGAGATGTGTGCCTGAGAAATAACTTGTCTTGATATATTTAGGAATTTAGAGGGTTTTTTTCCTGGTTGGAACTGCCAAGCTTGGCTGCTACCCTAGTCATTTATATAGTATAGCTTTATGTGGATTTAGTCCAAATACTTGGGATTTAAAGAGGATTAAATGATTCGCATACACAGTGAAATGAGGGGACCGTACATGGGAGCAAGTACTTGGAGTCCAGAACCCTCAGCAGAGCTTCTACCAAGTGCTCTGAGAGTAGAGAGAAAGGAGGAGGGAAGAGCTGACCAAGTCACCATGGGATCCTTTCACAGTGGGAATGGCACTTGAACTAGGTTTTGAAGAACAATCAGGAGTTTGGAGGATGGGAAAATGTAGTGAAGACCACCGCAGACGGGGGTGAAGCATGAAGAGGTGAGGAGATACAACACAATGGGATATACTTGTGGATTTGACAAGTGTTCTGTGGGCAGGAAGGCACCTAGAGATTGTGAGCTTTGTAAGAGAGTCTAGGGGACTTGAAACTCAGAGAGGTGGCGCCATGGAAGGCTTTTAGGCAGCAGAGTGAGCATAAGAGTGGGCGACGGTCAAATACTGTGTGGAGGGTGAGTGAGATGAGAATTGAGGTGTGGCTGCAAACAGGTCAGTCACGGGCCCTGGTGACCTCTGAGGGAGCAGTTGCAGTGAGGTGGTGCTATGGAACCAGGCTGCAAAGAATGACAGAGTAGGTCAAGAATATTAGCGATAAAGAGAAAGGGAAAGTGTGGTATGGTAGAGAGAGGATAAAGGATGGTTAAGGGAAGGTGGGATGGTGAAGATTTGTGTAAGTGTCACCACCCCTATGAACTATTTGTTATTTGTATGCTCTTCTGGACTTCTTTGATATATTTGACCCCCCTAAATTCCCCAAGTAGAGATGAGCATTGCTTGAACTTTCTTCTTGGCTTCCGAAATACTAGAGAAAACTTAACTAGAGAAAACTTAGCTG